AAACAGAAAAAAATTATGAGGCAAAAAGGGCCAAATTCTTCAAATTCAAACGAAAATAATTTCACGCCTCATAGATTTTATGAAAAACAAGGCTGAACACGGTATTCAAATACCATTACACAAATACAGACAGAATTTTAGCTGCTACAGGGATTTCTATAAGCAGTTATTCTAGAACTAAGAAGATGGCTGGTGAAGTAGAAAGTGGAGTTAGTACTTCATTTTCACAAAGAGGATATACAAAAAGAAGTACAGTTGTAGAATCTATAAGGCCTGAAGAATTGAAAAAACTCAGAAATATGATCCATGATTTTCATATTATTGAGAAAACACTACCAACTCTAAATTGTAAGTTACTTTTTTGATTATAATTGCAACGTAATTGATATAAATATTATTTTAGGTATATTACAAAAAATGAAGGATTGTTGTTTTAAATTCCGGGGCAGCATCTCATCACTTAGGAAGGGATGAAACAAGAAACTGCAGAGTAGCCGGGGAGCTCTTAAGTTATCCTGACAACACTGTAGCTAACAAATACTTGACTATGACTAGACAGAATCTGCGTCTGGTCACAGGCATTCTGACTGGTCATTGCCAAGTACGGAAGCATCTCCACATCATGGGGCTGTCAGAATCCGCACTCTGCAGAGGGTGCGAACAAGAAGATGAGACCATTGAGTATATCCTTTACGATTGGCCAACGCTCTCATTTATTAGAAGATTTGTGTTCGGCGAGTATCGGCTAACACCGGCCAATATAAGAGAAGCACCTCTTGGCGACGTTGTCAACATCATTAAATCTGTAGGCTGGCTGACGAGCTAGGAGGTGCCTATCACCTTAGGAGGGTGCACAATGGGCCTGATAAGGCCTAAGTGCCGTGGAGGTAACCAACCCTCCACACGTTACAGATACAGATCACTTAGGAAAATATTATTAAACAGGGGTTTAAGTAAGTATAAATAACGTTATCTAAAAAAATCTTAATAAAATGATACCAAAATAATTAATTTCTTATAGTCAATTTTTGTAGGTATAAAATTACAATGTTTATTTTTCAGGTGGAAAAAAAATGAAGACAACAGATCTGTTCTGTTGGAACCCTACGACTTTAGGAATAATATTAGATTAGATTAGATTAGATTAGATTAGATTAGATTAGATTAGATTAGATTAGATTAGATTAGATTAGATTAGATTAGATTAGATTAGATTAGATTAGATTAGGAGTTGGACGTTATTTGTCCTTGTCCACCGCGACCTTTTCAGATCTATTGTGGGACTCCGTTTGTTTAGAGTATGTCGTCTAGCCTGGTCTTTTTTATTAGACTTAGTAGCTTTGACAGTGGCTCCCGCATGTAGTTGCATGCAATTGGCTTTTCTTCGCCCAATGTTAGAAACCTCATTCCAGCCAAGCCTTCACATTGGCACAGGACGTGGAATGATGTTTCCTCTTCTTCTTCACAGAACCTGCACAAAGTTGCTTCTTCTGCTGGATTTATGAAACTCATGTGCCTTTTGAGGCGACAGTGTCCAGTAAGAAGGCCTACTGTTATCCTAACTATTTGACGTTTTTGATCCAGTAGGTTTTTCGTAAACTTGGCCGATGGTTCCTTGATGAACTGTTTGGCCTGTCTCAGTCTTGGATAGTTGTTTCACCATTCCTGAGACTCTTTTTGCATCCATTGTTTAATGGATGCATTGCACAATGCCTTAGCGACTCCACAAAAGGGTTCAGGGCCTGTCATGGCCTTATCTGAGCCTTCTCGGGCTAATTCGTCGGCCTTTTCCTTGCCCTGATATCCCTCATGGCCTGGAACCCAGGCTAAGGTCACCTTATTTTGACTACTTAGCTCTGTCAGGTCTTCTAGACAGTCTTTCACCAGTCGTGATTTGATTTCTGGTGAGAGAATTGCCTTTAGAGCTGCTTGGCTATCAGAGTATATGGCAATAGTTTTGCCTGATACTTGCTGATTTAATATTTCTCTTGCACAGTATTGTATGGCTATTAGCTCAGCCTGGAACACTGTTGCATATTTTCCTAAGCTTAGTAAAATCGTTGATTTCGACTTGGGTCCATAGATTCCAGCACCGTCTCCTTCCTTGGTTTTTGAACCGTCTGTGTACCAGACGAGTTCAGCCTGTACGGGAGGTCCCTGTTTCCAGGATTCTCGGGCTGGTATTTGAATTTGAAAATTTCTTTCAAATTTGTATGTGGTTATGGCTCTATCAGTAGGCATTGCTAGAATATTATCCCTTTGTACTTGCTGATATAGCCTTGTGTGGTCGGCGCTATGTAGTTGGCTTATTGGGTTTTGTCCCTGCATTAGCCTGTGAATAGCTGACCTGGTTTCTCCTTGTATGAAGATGTGCAATGGCGTGAGATTTAGTAATACCTCCATTGCTGCGGTCGGCTAGTGCGCATCATAAAAATCCATGATGCTTAACAATCGAAAGTTATGATCAGCTTAAATTTAATTTAAACTGTTAAAGTATCTAATTAACAAGTAATTTAAGTACTTAATGTAGTGGTTTATTTTATTATCTTTAGTTTAGTTAAAAGATCTTTACCTGTACTTAATCCTTTATTGTTATGCAATGGAAAGTTTTTAGTTTAACTTTTTCTTAGGATTATTATAAAAAATATTATCATCTTAAACAAATATTTCTTCTAAAACAGATTATTTTTTAAGTGTTTTAAAATTCCTAATAATTTTTGCTTAAATAAGCAATTATTTCATTTAAAAGAGTTTTTTTGTAAGTTTAGGTATCATACAAAAATAATTATGAAAAATATACTTGCATTATAGATAATAAATTCTTTTTTACTTTTTTCAGGGAAAAAAACAGATTATCATGATGAAATGAACTGGAATAATTTTTCCCAATGGGTTAGAAGACAGTTACTACCAAATCTTCCTCCAAGGTCTTTACTTGTAATCGATAATGCAAGTTATCATAATGTTAAATCTGAAAAATCGATTACAACGCAGACCAAAAAAGCAGATTTAATTAACTGGGTCGTTAAAAACAATATAACATGATGCTAAAATGACCAAACCAGAACTGTACACATTAATAAAAGTTTACAGACCTCCACCGAAATTTCTTTTAGACGATCTTCTTGAAGAACATGGACACAAAGTTCTACGATTACATCCATATCATCCCGAATTAAATCCCATAGAAAGAATATGGGCCACACTAAAAAATTGGGTGGGTCAACATTACACAACATTTAAGTTGGATAATGTTGAAAAGTTGGCAAGAGAAAAATTCCGAAGCATAACAGCGGAGGAATGGGCAAACGTGGTGGACCATTCCGCGAAATATGAGGATAAATATATTCAAAGAGAACACCTTATGGATGAATTTACAGATTCCTTCATGTTTAGTGTAAATACGGGGTCATCCGATGAGTGGGAATCCGATATTTCCTACTTGGAAGATGATGAAGACGATGAAAATGTTTAAAATTATACAAATTAAATTAAAATATATTATTTATTTAAACTTTCAGTTGTTATATTAATTTAAAGTTCATCAGCAATTTAACTAACGAATAGTTAAAATTTAACATTAACTTATTAATATGTTCGATTTAAAATATTTTATTAATGTACACACGCCACTGCTAAGATATCAGGTACCCCTACCGCAGCAGATTTCAGCCCAGCGCCATCAACTAAAGCTCCACAAAGTTATGACGTACTGCGCGAACTGTGGCATAGCTATGACGAAATGTGCTCTTCACAAGAAAATCGAGCCCTACCCTTTATTAAATTCCACAAATACAAATTTTAATTTTATACATTTATATTAATAATAATGTATTAATTCCGAAGCATAACATCGGAGGAATTGGCAAACGTGGTGGACCATTCCGCGAAATATGAGGATAAATATATTCAAAGAGAACACCTTATGGATGAATTTACAGATTCCTTCATATTTAGTGTAAACACGGGGTCATCCGATAAGTGGGAATCCGATATTTCTGACTTGGAAGATGATGAAGACGATGAAAATGTTTAAAATTAAAAAAATTAAATTAAAATATATTATTTATTTAAACTTTCAGTTGTTATATTAATTTAAAGTTCATCAGCAATTTAACTAACGAATAGTTAAAATTTAACATTAACTTATTAATATGTTCGATTTAAAATATTTTATTAATGTACACACGCCACTGCTAAGATATCAGGTACCCCTACCGCAGCAGATTTCAGCCCAGCGCCATCAGCTAAAGCTCCACAAAGTTATGACGTACTGCGCGAACTATGGCATAGCTATGACGAAATGTGCTCTTCACAAGAAAATCGAGCCCTACCCTTTATTAAATTCCACAAATACAAATTTTAATTTTATACATTTATATTAATAATAATGTATTAATTCCGAAGCATAACATCGGAGGAATTGGCAAACGTGGTGGACCATTCCGCGAAATATGAGGATAAATATATTCAAAGAGAACACCTTATGGATGAATTTACAGATTCCTTCATATTTAGTGTAAACACGGGGTCATCCGATGAGTGGGAATCCGATATTTCTGACTTGGAAGATGATGAAGACGATGAAAATGTTTAAAATTATACAAATTAAATTAAAATATATTATTTATTTAAACTTTCAGTTGTTATATTAATTTAAAGTTCATCAGCAATTTAACTAACGAATAGTTAAAATTTAACATTAACTTATTAATATGTTCGATTTAAAATATTTTATTAATGTACACACGCCACTGCTAAGATATCAGGTACCCCTACCGCAGCAGATTTCAGCCCAGCGCCATCAACTAAAGCTACATAAAGTTATGACATACTGCGCGAACTGTGGCATAGCTATGACGAAATGTGCTCTTCACAAGAAAATTGAGCCCTACCCTTTATTAAATTCCACAAATACAAATTTTAATTTTATACATTTATATTAATAATAATGTATTAAAACAATTTTTATCCCAGCATCTTAATTTTACACCATCATTTTAGTTAATTTTGTAGACCGTACCAATATGATATCGCGAATTATAGCGGTTTTCGTATTTGTCTACTCCGTTGCCATCTGCATCGTACCGCGTACCATTTACATCAACTCGGTAACCGTTTCGATCATACCGAAATCCCGACGAATCAGTTCGGTAACCACTTGAATCATACTGAAAACCGTCCGCACTCACGCGAAAAGGAGAAGAATATTTTCCCGTGTCATATCGGTAACCGTATGAATCAACTTCTTCACCATTTTTATCCACACGATTTCCGTCTACATTTATCCGGTAGCCATTTTTATCGTATCGGTAACCTTCTGAATTGACTCTGAAACCGTTTGAATCATATTGGTAACCGTCTGAATCAACTAGGTAACCGTCTGACTTATGTCGATAATGTCTTGAAGGTTTTGAACGAAGCTTACTAAATGAACGAAATTGGATAGATTGCTGGCTATTTACAGTATTGATATTACCATATTGATTATTGTTCTCAACAACTTGACCGTATGTGTTTCCCAAATTTGAATTAATCCGATAACCATTCTCATCAACTAAGTAACCATCTGAATCATATAGATTTCTATTCACATCAACTCGGTATCCATCTTTATTATATCGATAACCCAATGAATCAGTTCGAAAGCCACTTGAATCATATTGCAAACCCTCCGCACTTAGGCTAAAAGGTAGTGAATATACGTTCGTATCGCATCTATAACCTCTTGCATCAACCTTGTAACCGTCTTTATCAAATCTGTTACCCTCTGCGTCAATTCTGTAACCATTTTCGTCATATCGATAGCCTTCTACATTGACTCTGATACCATTTGAATCAATTAAGTATTGGGGGCTATCCCAAGGGGTTTTTGGGCAGATCTGTTGGGGAAGAACTTGGTTAGACTGTACTGTAATGGATGGTAAATCAGATGGTGATACTGGTTGTATAACAGGTTGTAGAACTGGTGGTAATATTGGTTTTAAAACTGTTGGCGTAACTGCGATGCCTAAAAGTAGGAAAAAATATAAATTTTAACTTTTTCATTACTAATAATTTGAAAATGTTTATTAATAACCAATATATGGATTTTTATGAAGGAGATTTGTTAAGTAGTTCATTTTACAACAAAAATAGATATTAAAATTAACTTGGTTATTTTATTCTTTTTTCTAAAATTAATATTTAGTTGACTTACAACATGTCAATTTGTTTGTGTTTGTGCTAAATATCTCTTTACGGATAAATTGTACCCTAAATATAGTTATTTAATTTTGTAGAGCAATAAATTTTCTATAACTATTATATTTAAGTTTTTTCTTCTAACACTAGTAATGCAAGTTGCACAGCATAACAATAAATATAATATTCTTTTGTTTTTAACTGCTCTAAACATCGTTGACGAGTGGTGTAAAGAGAAGGAACCCTCACAAATCCACGATAGTCAACTTTACAAAATAAAAGGTACTGACAGAATTAAACTGGAAGGAGTGAAGATTACATTTGCTTAAGAGACCAAATACTTGTGTGTCATCTTTGGCCATAGGTTAACACGAAATCAACACCTGCAAAAAGTAACCCAAAAAAGCACAACATCCTTTTAACTTATGTCAAAAGTTGTGTGGAATAAATTGAGGACTACAACCAAAAATGTCCCTATGGATATTTACCAAAGTCATAAGGCCTACGTATCGGTAGTATGGTGGACAAAGCTTCAGAAGCCATTCCACAGCTCAACGTTATTCAAAGGCAAGAATGCCTTAGTGTCACAGGAGCCATGAGAACGACTCCAGCAGCCTAGAAGTCATGCTAAACCTAACACCACTACACATATTCATTTAAGGCGAGGTCAGATCTGTCACAAACAGACTGTACAAATGTCCATCATCCATAAGCAGTTTGCAGCGAGCTATATAAAAAGTTGAAAAATGACTAAATAATGGGATTGCTCCCAAAATATAGCGTTTAAAAGCAATATAAAGTAAGTATACCAGACAGGTAAGAGGGAAAGCCCACTCACGCGACATGTCGCGCGCGACCTACTGCATGCGATTTTTTAGGTGCGATTTTTAACAGACGACAAGCAGCGACACAGACGTTTAGTATCAAAATAGAGGTGGAAGAAGTAGTAACGGTGTTATTTTATTTTGTTCGTCGGCGGAAAAAATTGAAAGACGTAGGTACTGGGTTCATCCATTATTTATAGACTCTTATGTAAAAGGCGCATTTAATTAATTACATAAGGATTTACGTCAACATGAAGATAAGTTCTTCAAATATTTCAGAATGAGAGTAGTGTCATTTGACGAACTGCTAGCGCAGATTCCCGAACAAATATTATTTTCGCTATTTTATTTCAATTAACTGTTCGATATTTGAGGTCGGTCTTGAATATCGGATATAAATTCATCTATATCAATACAACTGACGGACATTTTTTCACTGGAACTGTCGAAAAGTTAACAGGAAACTCCAACTCTCAACTGGCGTTTCGCACGCGACTTGACGTTTGTATGAGTTATGCTCCATATGAATTCATGATAAAGCTGGCCGCGTGCGGCAGGAAAATCGTGAGATTGTCATTTTTAATTTTCAGCCGCGTGCGACCACGCGACAGAACCGCGTTAATGGGCTTTGAGTCATTTAAAAACATCTAAAGTATTGCTGCGCGCGATGCCTCGCGATCAGTCGCGCGCGACGTGTCGCATGAGTGGGCCTTTCCTCTAATTGTTAATGGGAGGACTTCCTATTCACGAAGAATTAACCTGTAATACATGAAGGTTCAGGAATTATATTGATATGATATTTTATTCGAAATTAAATTTAATTAATGACATGATTTGGTTTTAAAAATTTGTAAATTTGTTAATCAACGTTTGATGGGTAAGGTATTTTAGGACAATGGTTATGAGAAATTTTAAGATGTCATATGGAAAATTTTTAAACAGAAATGTAAATTTGGATTTTGTATGAAGAGAAAGGTTATTTATTGGAAATAAATATATTCATAGAATTGCTATGTATTGGGTATTTTTATTGGAGTACAAATAAAACGATTTAAAAAAAAGTAAAGTATATTTTATTGAAATTATTAAAGGATAAGGTGCCAGGTAGAGCACCGGGATACAAGCAGATTTAGAGAGTGCAGAGTAAAAAGGGAAGTAAGCATATAGGTGCAGATAGGTTACAGAGGAAGCCGGCGAGTATAGAAGAGAAAAGCTTTTATAAAATACAAACTTATTAAATATAATATTTAAAAAAAAATTTTTTAGTATCAAAATTAAGTTTGTAAATCCACCTCACGTTAGGTGGACACGTCTTTGAAATTTGGAGGCAAGATTTTCCACTTCTTCATTGTGATCCAAATTATTGTAATTGCTCAACATACGGACCCTGAGATTAAGATTTGTTAGTCAGGTTCACAGGATGAGTTAAATTTTTACAAAAAGTCAAAAGATTTTATGGGACTGTTTGAAAACCCTAATAGAGTCAAAACAGGCTAACCTTAGCCTGGGTACTAGACCACAGAGATCATAAAAATAACGAAGAGGCTGATTAACTAGCCCGAGAAAAAGCCTCAAAGGCTCTTATAGCCTAGAACCCTTTAGTGATGTCACAAAGAAAGCTCTCAGAACATGCACAAAGCAGTGGATGTTTATAAAATCTCGGGAATAGTAGAAAAATTCACCAGGACATACAGACCAAAGAGTTCTTAAAAGGACCATCGCCAAAACTCACCTAGCATCTACTGCGCCACAATAGGAAAAATACTGGAATACTAATAGGTGTATTAAGAGGGCATTGTAAGCTTAAGCTGGCAGAAGAGACTTTGTGCTAATTCTGACAGGAAGAGGAGAAAACTGCAGTAAATATTTTATGCTACTGTGAAGGTCTATTAAATCTTAGATTCCTTACACTTGGAGATGAAAAACCAAGAGTAACTAGCTACACTAGAGAACTACTTCCTAGTATATAGAGTCTGCTACAAAAAAGCAACGATTAAAGGATATCCATAATAGATCTGGAAAAGTCGAGGTGCGAGAGCCTTAATTAAATCTAATCTAACCGTTTGGGTGTTTTTTGATTGATTGAAATTATTTTCTAATGGAAATACTTTGTTTCTTTACCTTGTGTTTGCTCCCACGTAGTGCGTTTTTTATGTTTATGGTTTACAGGATAATTTTTTTCAATTTCCGCTGCACAAGCCACTGCTAACCCAATAATAACTGCAATCTACACGAGAAAATACATCTTTCAGTTTTATAAACATCAAAATTTTCAAATTTTGGGACAAACTTTTCTGATTTTAGCAACACTATTTTGAAACTTCGACAATATCACTTGATGTATTCTAGCAATATTTACGAAAAAATAACAGAAAATAATAAGAATTTGGTCCATATTTGCTGAAAGCGTCCTTAAACGATAATCAAAGTTCGGTTATATCAAGGGAATTTATAGAGGAACAGTATCATCCCCTAAATGTACTGTACATTTACTGATTTATTACTGTACTCTAAATTCAAGTGGAATGCTGGAACCACCCGATATTTAAAAATTTGTAACTAGGAACGTACTTATTAATCGGAAAAATATAGGACTGTCCATGTTAGAATACGAGCTACCTAAATAGGAAGTAGGAAGAGTAGCTAGTATTCAATTTATAATATACAGGTAGTTAGTTGTTATCATTGATGATTGTCAAAAAATAAAAATTTATGAAATGTCTGCGTAATTATTAAAATATATAGAACTTATAAAAATACTGGTTGAAGCGATTCATAACGATTCATAGCCTCCGACAGTTCAGAACACGTGACTCTGTCCCTTAAAAAATTGCCGCCTGTAGAGACATATACATGCTATTTACATTGAAGAAGAGAATTATTATTAAAGTCTATTCAAATTTAATTTACGGCTGATGTAAACAGAAGCAGGTGGACGCTAAAATTGAGCAGGGCCGTATTTTACTATTCCGTCTTGCAAAAATGTAAAATAAAAGAGTGTAATTGTGAAATTATTTTTTTATTACCATAAAAACATATTTTGTAAAGTAAAACTATAAAATAAATGCCATACACGGTCTCCCAGACTTTAGTGACATTTCTGGACGAAGATAGGTGAGCGACATAAACTGCGTTAACCTGCAATACAAATTAATAAATGTATTTGACTTTAAAAGAGATGGTTGCATTATATTTAGTTCAATACATATGTCTACTGTGATACAGAGCATTAAAACAATCATATTATAAAATTATATTGTACAGGGTGTCCAAATAATTGCAAATTCTTTAATAGCTAATATATATCTACTAAAAGCATTAAAAAAACTTTAAATATAAGAGGTATTTGGTGTTTGAATTTGGTATTTGATTTAAAATTGTGCATCTTAAAAAGAAACCTTTTGTATTTTGGATAACTTTTGTTCTTTATTGTTCTTGTTCTACTAGTATTTAGATTAGACAACTTGTACCCTGTATTATAGCAATCTTCCTTACTTGACTTAGCACTATTCTGAATCGGATAAATTAGTTAGACTTGAAAGGCTATCTTCATTAATCAAAATTACAAGTGGTTCTACCTGAACCTCTATAATATTATCCAACTCCCACATTTTTACTTCAACTTTTTGGCGAACATGGTCGATACACTTTTTCCATTTTTCTGGAGAAATTAATAATATTACTTCTTCAAAAAGAATTTTAATGTCTCCAGATTTAAATGTTTTTATCTGCTACGTATTGTTTAACGTCAACCTAGATTAATTCAATAGGGTTAAGTTCACAATGATACGGAGACATGTGAAGTATTATGTTGTTTTGCTGCTTAGCCATTTCATCTATTACATACCTATCATAATGTTTATGTTGCTTACCAAGTTTTAGAAGTTGGATCTTAAGTATTTGGTAGTCGAATTCAATTTTTTTCCCTTATAGCCATTTTTAAATATCACCTTTTTTAGACGTCGTAGATATTTTTTCCAGCTTTCTCGAATAATAATGCAGT